TATTGAGAACTTTTGCATCTATGTTCATTAGTGATATTGGTCTGAAGTTGTATTTCTCTGATGTGTCTTTGCCTGGTTTTGGAATCAGGGTGACATTAGCCTTATAGAATGAGTTTGGAAGTGCTCCATTTTTTTTTTCTGTTTAATGAAATAATTTGAAGAGTATGGACATTAGTTCTTTATAGGTCTTGTAGAACTCAGCCGTGTATCCATCTGGTCTTGAGCTTTTCCTGGTTGGTAGGCTTCTGATGCCTTCTTTTATTTCCTTGCTTGAAATTAATCTATATAAATTGTGTATATCATCCTGATTCAATTTGTGTGAATCATATAAATCTAGAAATTTGTCAATATCTTCAGTAGTCTCTATTTTATTGTAGTACAAGTTTTCAAAATAATTTCTGGTTATCTTCTGTATTTCTGTAGTGTCTGTTTTGATATTTGCTTTTTCATCATGTATACTAGTAATTTGAGTTTTATCTTTCCTTGTTAGCATGGCTAAGGGTTTGTCAATTTTATTTATTTTTTTGAAGAGCCAACTTTTTGTTTTGTCAATTTTCCCAATTGTTTTAATTTCATTGATTTCAACTCTGATTTTTATTTCCTCTCTTGTACTGTTTTTAATTGTTGATTTGTTCTTCTTTTTCTAGGGCTTTGAGATGTAATGTTAGGTCATTTTTTGTTAACTTTTTATTCTTTTAATGAATAAACTCCATGCAATGAAGTTTCCTCTTAGTACTGCTTCATAGTGTCCCAGAGCTTTTGTTCTCATTTACCTCTAAGAATTTTTTAATCACCTCCTTGACGTCTTTTGCAACCCCATTGTTCATTCGGTAGAATATTATTTAGTCTCCAGGTATTGTAGTAGTTTTTATTTTTAATTTAACTTCGATCTCTAATTTCATTCCATTGTGATCTGGTAGAATGCAGGGTAATATATCTACTTTTTTGTATTTGTTAAGAGTTGCTTTGTGGCTTAATATATGGTCTACTTTAGAGAAGGTTTCATGTGCTGCTGAGAAGAAAGTGTATTCACTTGTTGAAGAATAAAATATTCTATTTATGTCAGTTAAGTCTAAGTTGTTGATTGTATTGAGTTCTATGGTTTCTTGGTTCAGTTTTGTTTGGAAGATCTATCCAGTAGTGAAAGAACCATGTTAAAGTCACCCAGCATTATTGTGTTGTGGTCAATTTGACTCTTGAACTTTAGAAGAGTTTGATGAATATAGATGCTCCATTGTTTGGGGCTTATATATTTATAATTGTTCTGTCTTTTGATGAATGGTTCCCTTAAGCAGTATAAAATGTCCTTCTTTATCCCTTTTGATTAACTTTATCTTAAATTCTACTTTATCTGACACAAGAATGGAAACCCTTTCTTGCTTCTGCAGTCCATGTGAATGGTATGATTTTCCCTAACCTTTCACCTTCAGTCTGTGGATGTCTTTTCCTATGAGACGAGTCTCTTGGAGGCAGCATATTGTTTTTTTTTTTTTTTTTTAATCCAATCAGCAAGTCTATGTCTTTTAATTTGTGAGTTTAGGCCATTAACATTCAGAGTTATTATTGAGACATGATTTGTATTCCCATCCATTTTTGTTATTTAACTTGACTTGGTTTCTCCTTTGATTAGTTTTTTTTTCCTTTAGTATAATACCTCCCTCTGTTGATTTTCATTTCCTCTTCATGGAATATTATGCTGAGATGTTCTACAGTGTAGGTTTTTTAAACTGTAAATTATTTTAACTTTTGTTTATCATGGAAGGCTTTTATTTCATCATCAAATCTAAAGCTTAATTTTGCTGGATACAAGATTCTTGGTTGGCATCCATTTCTTTTCTTTTCTTTTCTTTTTTTTTGAGAGAGAGAGAGAGAGAAAATTTTTTAATATTTACTTTTTAAATTTTGGCAGACACAACATCTTTGTTTGTATGTGGTGCTGAGGATCGAACCCTGCCGCACGCATGCCAGGCGAGCACGCTAGCGCTTGAGCCACATCCCAGCCCTGGCATCCATTTTCTTTCAGAGCTTGATATATATTGTTCCAGGATCTTCTAGATTTCAGGGTCTGGGTTGAAAATCTGCACAGAATCTAATTTGTTTTCCCCTATATGTAATCTTCTCTCGTGGCTTTTAAAATTCTCTCCTTATGCTGTAGGCTAGGCATTTTCATTATTATGTGCTTTGGTGTGGATCTGTTGTGATTTTGTACATTTGGTGAACTGTAAGCCTCTTGAATTTGGTTTTCCATTTGTTCTTCATGTTTGGAAAATTTTCTGATATTATTTCATTGAAGATATTGTTCATTCCTTTGGTTTGGAACTCTATGCTTTCTTCTATCCCAATAAGTCTTAAATTTGGTCTTTTAGGGCTGGGGATGGGGCTCAAGCGGTAGCGCGCTCGCCTGGCATGCGTGTGGCCCGGGTTTGATCCTCAGCACCACATACAAACAAAGATGTTGTGTCCGTCAAAAAAACCCTGAAAAATAAATATTGAAAAATTCTCTCTCTCTCTCTCTCAAAAAAAAAAATTTGGTCTTTTTATGCTATCCCACATTTCTTGAATGTTCTGATTGCTTATGGTTTCTTACCATTTTCACTGTGTGATCTATATTCTTTTCAAGATTATATATTTTGTCTTCATTGTCCAAGGTCCTGTATTCCAAGTGGTCTAACCTATTGGTGATGCTTTCAATTTGGTTTATTGTTTCTTTCATTTCAAGGATTTCTGTTTGGTTTTTCTTTAGGACCTCTAGATCCCTATTGAAGTAATCTTTTGCTTCCTGTATTTGCTTATGTATCTCTTTGTCAAAATGATCTTTTGCTGCCTGTATTTGCTCTCTTATGTCATCCTTTAATCATTTTATCTGCTGTGCTGGCCATGGATTCTAATAATGTGATATCTTGATTTGTTTGGGGCACTTTCTTCCTTTGTTTTTTCATGTTGCTTGTGTGTCTTCCTTTCTAGCTCTGTGGATCCAAGGCATTATCATTTTACCCTATAGACTTATAGAGCCCCTGTAGGATTCCAATACCTCTCCTTTGAGGGGAAGGACAATGTTAATAGATCCCAATATAAACAATATACTATCTAAAAACAAACAGTTGCTATTAAGATGTTTACAGTTTGGTCACAATGTACAGAAATGGTGAATTCAATTATTATCTACAATACAATCAGTAGGTTTGTAAAAGGGTCTGCAGTTTCTGATGGTGGACAAAGAACCGGGAATGAGGTGTAGGAAGGTATGCTGCGGAGGTATGAGATGAGGACATAGCGTCATTATATCTTAGGAAGTGCAAAAGAGAAACCTAAAGAAGAAAGTTAGTAGCAGGAGAATAGAGAGGTAGTAATTTTGGGTAGATAAGTAAGAGGGAAGACAGTAGAGTACATAAAACAAACACACATATATATTAAGAAAAATAAAAATGTTTAAATAGTAAAAATTGGAGATAAAAAAGAAAACAGAAAAAAGAATATACAATGCAGCTATAATTACTATTCAGTCATCTCAGTCCTCAATATCCTAATTTATGCAAAGCACTTGGTTTTACATATATTGGCGATGGGAGAGTGGGAGAATAAAGAGGGAGAAGAAAGAAAAAAAATCTTGAAGGAAGAAACATGAATTGTTTTGGTTGGAGATCAGTGTCTTTCTGCTTCTCTTCTTCTCCTATAGGTGGGGTTGTCTGTTCTTAGTTGGTATCTCCGCCCTCAGGATGGTGGGGCTTACCAGGGTGTGAGGGTTGGTCTTGGGTGCAGGGCACTTGGAAGTGTGGTATGGCACCCCTGGTCCTGATGGGAGACTGCACCTCAAGGATCTCCTTTGGGGTCTGCTCCTGTAATGTGGGCACCTGATCTTATCTCCTCATCTTGCCTGTAGACCTCACAGTTCCTGGCCTCTACATTAGTCTGTAAAGTGTGTCTCCCTCACTGTCTCCTTTTCTCCTTCCTAATCAGGAACCTTGCTCTCCGCGCGTCTTGTGTGTTGCACTCTGGTGGTTGCACACCTGTCCCAGAGGGCTGTTTTGATTTGAGCAGTCATTCTGCTGAGTTAGCAGCTGCTGGGGATTAGGGGGAATTAGAAAACTATGGGTACCTGGCTATCTGGTGCTCCAAACTGGTCTTTGCCCCAACTAAAGATGATGATAGATGTGACCCAAGATGGAGGCAGCTGCTTTCAGCAATGGGGTGTTGGGTCAGGTGGGGGGAGCTGGGCGATGGCCTTGTGCCATGCGTTCAGAGATGAGCTCTGTAGCATGCAGTGTTGCGGCTCTCAGCTGTCTCAGAGCCTGAGATGACCCAGGTGCAGGCAAGCTACTGTGAGTAGGGGACTCTGGCAGTGGCTGCCAAGTCCCAAGATGGAGATGATGGTAGATGGAGGTTCACATGAGAGTGGTGGCCGGGGTTTCTGAGTATGGGTAGCCGCTGAGAACCCTGCGTGGGAGCAGCATCTGGAAATTCTGCACCAGTGCTGATGCCAGTGGTCCCTTAAGGCACCTGCGAGACCTGCGTGGATGAGTAGTTGGGAGTCCTTTCCTAAAGCTGAGGCCTGGGGCCCTGCGTGGGCATGGCGGCCCACGACTTTTGTGAGGGAGCAGCTGCCGAGGGGTCCTCTATCACTCTCAGAAAAGCAGTATTCCCACTAGTTGAGACCCAGGTCACAGAGTAACACAGAATTCTGCCTCCCTCTTGGATCCACTCCCCTCCATCTTGGATCCACTCCCCTCCCGCCCCAGAATCATCTTTCTATATCTTTATAAAAGTTCATTAACTTTAATATTAAGATATGAAAAAATAGCATGAAAGGAAAATGCAAACCATTTCATTCAGAACTATAAATGCATAAACAGAAAGTGCATGTTAAGATTTCTTCCATATTTTAAAGTATGATGTGACAATATATTTTAATATAGTAATTGCAGCAATATTAAGAACTTGCAAGAATGCAAAAACACATCAGTACTAAGAAATTTATATATAGCAAATAAAAGTGGACCACCGCCATATTGGGCAACTAAAAAAGGGGGCTCGTCTTTTCGGGGTGTTTTTCTCCCCCTCCCTTCTCCCCACTTTCTCACGGCTCCGCGACTCCGACCGCGGCAAGGTTTGGAGAGCCGCTGGGTTCGCGGGACCGCGGGATTGCACCAGCCTGGACTTGGACTGGCTTTGCCACCTCCTCCTTCCTCCTCCCCTCCCTTCCCCGCCCTCCCGCTCGCCCGTACACTTGATCGGCGGAGACTTTAGGCTGTCTGTCCCGGGCGTCCCCGCACTCACTCCCCCAGACCTGCGCGCTCCTGAGGCTCGGGCAGTTACTCGTTGGGGCTTGTTTCTCTTGGCTCTGAGGGCAGTCGCAGGGCTTATTAGAGGAGTCCGGACTGCGTCGGGGTGTTTTGTTGTGTTCGGTTTTGTTTTTTGAGAGAGGGAACTAGGCGGTCAAGACCCGACCGGGAGGAAAATGTCAAACGTGCGAGTGTCTAACGGGAGCCCGAGCCTGGAGCGGATGGACGCCAGACAGGCTGAGCACCCTAAGCCCTCCGCCTGCAGAAACCTCTTCGGTTCCGTGAATCACGAAGAGTTAACCCGGGACTTGGAGAAGCACTGCAGAGATATGGAAGAGGCAAGCCAGCGCAAGTGGAATTTCGATTTTCAAAACCATAAGCCCCTGGAGGGCAAATACGAGTGGCAAGAGGTGGAGAAGGGCAGCTTGCCCGAGTTCTACTACAGACCCCCGCGGTCCCCCAAAGGCGCTTGCAAGGTGCCGGCGCAGGAGAGCCAGGATGTCAGCGGGAACCGCCAGGCGGTGCCTTTAATTGGGTCCCAGGCAAACTCAGAGGACACGCACTTGGTAGACCCAAAGACTGACCCGTCAGACAGCCAGACGGGGTTAGCGGAGCAGTGCGCAGGGATGAGGAAGCGACCCGCAACAGATGATTCTTCTTCTCAAAACAAAAGAGCCAACAGAACAGAAGAAAATGTTTCAGACGGTTCCCCAAGTGCTGGTTCTGTGGAGCAGATTCCCAAGAAGCCGGGCCTCCGAAGACGTCAAACGTAAACAGCTCCAGCTCGAATTAAGAATGTGTTTCCTTGTTTATCAGATACGTCATTGCTAGATGAAGCAAGGAAGATATACAAGAAAAAAATTTAAATACATATCGCTGACTCCATGGAACAGACATCCTGTATAAGCACTGAAAAGCAACAACACAATAACACTAAAATTTTAGGCACTCTTAAATGACCTGCCTCTAAAAGCGTTGGATGTAGCATCCTGCAATTAGGTTTTTCCTTATTTGCTTCATTGTACTACCTGTGTATATAGTTTTTACCTTTTATGTAGCACATAAACATTGGGGAAGGGAGGGCAGGGTGGGGATGAGGAATTGGCCTGGGTGGGGGTGAAGAACTTGCTTCTGTTTATAGCAAGGAGAAAAATATTTGACTTGCATAACCGAAGCAATTTTGGGGAAGGGCTTCAACTGTTTTTTTTTTTTTAAAGATGTAATGTCCCTTTCAGTGACACTGATATTTCATTTTTAAAATCAAAATTTGAAAACTGGCTACAAATAATTGCTATTTATTTTTACATGAAGCTTATTCTTATTTGGGAGTTCTTATGATTCCGTTATGTACTAGCAAATGTCTTTAAAAACAAAAAAACAGCAACTGTTTTTCTCAGTGTCTCTAACCCTGCCCCCCCCCCTCAGTTTCCCTTAAAATTAGAATATACCAGTTAATTATTCAGCAGTTTGGTAATCACTTCAAGTAATTTTGAACAAAAATCTGGGGCATGTGATGGAGATTTCTGAATGCCCAAAACTGACCATCTACATTTACCAAATTTGTTGAGAAAATGTCTTAGTTTTCTTTTCTCTTTGAGCTGTGTAGACACAGTAAAAACAATTTGAAATCCCAAGGTATTTTTAAAGATTGATAAGTAGCTTCACAGACACACACACAAAAAAATGAAATAATTTTTAATCTTCTCTAATTGTTAATTTGCCCAAAGGAAAATAGTGTTTTTAAAGGAAAGCACATGTAAAGAAAAGCACACTTGTGGAATAATGGAAATGGATACTACATCTTTAAACAGTATTTCTTCATTGCCTGTGTAAGTGTATGAAACAAAACCATTTGAAGTGTACCTGTGTACATAACTCTGTAAAGACACTGAAAAATTATACTAACTTATTTATGTTAAAAAGAGATTTTTTTTTAAAATCTAGACAATATACAAGCCAAAGTGGCATGTTTTGTGCATTTGTAAATGCTGTATTGGGTAGAATAGGTTTTCCCCTTCTTTTGTTAAATAATATGGCTATGCTTAAAAGATTGCATACTGAGCCAAGTATAATTTTTTGTAATGTGTGAAAAAGATGCCAATTATTGTTACACATCAAGCAATCAATAAAGAAAACTTCCATAGCTAAAAATAATAAAATAAAATAAAATAAAAGTGCTTTCAGTTTGATACAATATGACATGAAATTGGAGACAGAGCATTGGGAACTGTGCAGGGAGTGCTTTGGGAATGCTGAGATCCATACATAGTCCTTATCACTTATGCAAAATGTAATTACAGGAACTTCTCATAGGCTGGTCCTTTCTGTTCAAAGGTCTGTCTTAAAATACTATTGCTGTGTAGTGTGATTAAAATTCCTCTGAAGACTGTGGCTGGACCTCAGGAAGACTGACAGCCACCTGCTTGGAAATTGCAGGGAACAAAGGAGCATCCCAGGAGATTTCCAAAAGGAGGGGAGACACATGAAGGTCTAGATGTTAAGAAAAAAACAGGAAAGGGAGTGAGGTAGTAGCTTAGTGGTAGAGCACTTGCCTAGTGTGTGTGAAACATTGGGTTTGATTCTCAGAACCACATATAAGTAAATTAAATAAAGGTCCATCAACAACTCAAAAAAATTTAAAAAAGACAAAGACAAAACATGAAAAATGCACTCCCCACAAACATACCCACAAACCAGGTTTTACAAAGCAAGACTCAAATTAATTATTACTCTGTCTTGTACTAGTAGTGGAGGGTGGTTTGAAATTCAGCTGCTTCCTGAGTGAGATACTCTTTTAAGGAGCTACTGGAAATTGCATTTTTACCCATAGTAATGATGATGCCCAGGAACTCGTGAGTCCAGGATGTTTATTAATGTCACCAAACATAATAATAGGTAACAGAAGAAGACAAAGATCAGTCATATTAATAGATGATATAAAATATTTGTTAATTTTACATGTAAGACTTTTAGTTAAGAAATATCTCAGTGTACTTGGAAGAAGGAGAATCAGAATATATAGTGGTCACAAAATTTTATGTGAGGATAGAAAGGCAGAGCTGTTAATAATTACACTGGAACCCTCTCAGGCAAAGAAGACAGTCTTACCCCAAGATATGACAGTGTAGTCAGAGAAAGTGAGAGAAATAGGAGAAATAATATAGAAAATGAGAAAAAGTTAAGAAGCAAAATGCACGATATCCAAAGTAAAGGATCACACTGGCTATGGGAAGATGTTCCATAATCTGAGTCTCTTCTGGTGCACAGCACCCCCAAGTGGTATGCCATGGACTTGCTCCAGGACATCTCCTCTCCAGGGCACCTAGCATCTCCTCTAAACTACAGAGCCATTTTTTTTTTTCATAGCCACCTATATAAGAGGATATTCCATGGAATTCTAGAAGGACAATTACATGTTCCTATTAAGAATTAAGTTATGGGATCAGATAGCTTCCCCCACCCTCTGTCTTAGAAGGAAGATGCCCTATTCTAACTACAAACTCTCATACCCTGAGGACAAAGAAGGACCACAAAAATTAGAGGTGTTTTCATTTCACTGGCCAAGAAGAAACTCCTCTGGGACTGTGTGTGGAAGTCAGCCGGAACTGAGCCCCAGGCTGTCGGCTCAGCAGCTGCCAGACTGTGTCTGCCCCACCCTTGCTGATTTGCATGTTTCCCCAGAGCCCATTTCTGCTTCTCAGAGTCCTCATGAAAAGGCTGCTTGGTGAGCCTGGGCAGCAGGAGCCTCAGGCAGGGCCAGACTGAGCATGGGTGACCTGGCTGCACTCATCTGCCTTCTGCTGCTCTGGAGTCCAGGTGAGGAGGGAGCACAGGGGACAGCCTGAGGAATAGCCTCTTCTAATATGAGGGCTCTGTGCGTCTCTGGCCCACAGTGCTCTCAGGTTACAGGACCAGGACAGCCAGGTCTGCTGGGGGAAATGGAGTTAAAACAGGAATGCTGTCTCTTTCTTCCCAGGTGCCAGTGGGAGCCCAGGGCTGACACAGTCACCAGACTCCCTGACTGTGTCTCAAGGAGAGAGCGCCTCCATCACTTGCACTGCCAATGAGAGCATCAGCGACTATCTAACCTGGTACCAGCAGAAACCAGGCCAGGCTCCCAAGATTCTCATCTATGATGCTGATAATCTATGGTCTGGTGTCTCAGACCGTTTTTCCGGGAAACAGTCTGGGACAGAATTCATTCTCAAAATCAGCAGGGTAGAGGCTGAGGATGCTGCCAGCTATTACTGCCAGCAGGACTATGCAGTCCCTCCCACACAGTCACAGCCCCGTACACAAACCCTCCTCCCAGGGATGGTACAGGGAGTCACATGGTGTCACCAGCTGCCCTCTGCCATGGGGCATGCTCAGAGGCACTGGGTCTGGTGGAAAGCACTGGCCAGACTCAAGATAAAGGCCTGAAAGGGACTTCAGACTTCTGAAAGCAGGCTGTCCCACTACCACCACCATGAGGGACACTGACCAGCAGCGCACACTCCACAGCCAGTGGCCAGGGACTGAGATTTGGAGATTGCTGCGTATTGAAACCACACTAAGGGCTCACGTGTCTAGTGTGACTGGCCTCCAGTAATCCTGTACAGATGTGGCTTTGGAGGTTCTCAGAGCTCAACTTGCTTCCTGTGTCTGCAGGAGGAGATGGAAACCGACTCTGAGGCTCTGGCTCAGTAACTCCCCTCATGCCTTCATTTAAAGCCAGATGCAATTAAATCCAGAAAAGCACACGTGTTCCAGTAAGTTAATGTAAAGTGACCAGCTGGGTGAACATGAATTTTCTGCACCCCCTCAGCCACTGCCCCGTGGGGGATACAGGTGTTCCAGCCCGTCACAGGCCCTCCTGCTCCTCCCACTCACCCACCACCTCCACTTCCCATCAACACAGGTCAGATCTCCTGGAACTTTCTGTCAGTGGACCTCCTGGACACTGCGTTTGGCATCTTGCTCTTTTAAAAAAGTTAATTCATTTATTTGTTTCAATTAGTTATACATGACAATAGAATGTATTTATGCACTTTAATACACATAGATGGGATATAATTTCTCATTTTTCTGAATGTGCACTTTGTAGAATCATACTGGATGCAGTCGT